TGGGATATTCACGAACGATCATGCAGTCAAACTCTCTGACGTTTCTCAATGTATACTAAAACGCTGAGTTCAAGATTAAAGGGTCTTTGATCAGAAAGAACGCTGCTGTGTGTATTCATGCTGGGGAATTTCCAGTGGTTCCCCCAGGAATGAGGAAGTAGTCTGTCAGTGTTTACGTCATGTCCAGGGCACGGTCTCGTGAAAAACTTATGAACGTCAAATTGCGTCATTCATAAACGTCAACGTCATTTTCGCGATCATGTGACCGACCTCTCGTCCCATTTAAAAGCCGTATATCTTGTAAACTTCAAATTAAAAAATTATTACCGCTTGGCGGTGCCAATCTGTTATTCATCACTCTAGCATGATGGGACAAATCTAGCGTCATTTATTTGGCTGAAGGGGATAACGTCACTCTCATGAGACAACCAGGACAATATACCACTCACCCTACAGACGAGTTGTGTGTGACCTAGATTATTAATGGAGTGTAAGTAAGCTGTTGAACGCTGAATTCAGACTTATTTACCAGAGGTTTCTACCGCAAATAAATGTTTTTTCAGGGCGAGCTGGCCACAAAATGGCGGCTCGGGTCTGCCTTTTCTTCAATCATTTTGGCCTAATGGTATCAATCTGAAGTCAATCATTTTGGCCTAATGGTAAGAATCTGAAATCAATCATTTTGGCCTAATGGTATCAATCTGAAGTCAATCATTTTGGCCTAATGGTAGGAATCTGAAGTCAATCACTTTGGCCTTATGGTTAGAATCTGAAGTCAATCATTTTGGCCTAATGGTATCAATCTGAAGTCAATTGGCTGAAGGGGATGACGTTACTCTCATGAGACAACCAGGACAATATACCACTACAGACGAGTTATGTGTGACCTAGATTATTCATGGAGTGTAAGTAAGCTGTTGAACGCTGAATTCATACTTATTAACCACAAGTTTCTACCGCAAATAAATGTTTTTTCAGGGCGAGCTGGCAACAAAAATGGCGGCTCGGATCTGCCTTTCCTTCGAAGAACCGAGACAGATGAGAAATTTAACTCTGCAAAGATTCCTAATGATGTAACAATTATCTACATTTGATTCATCCACTAAATAAAGTTTTATATGAAAATAATTATATTTCCGCCTTCAGATCTTGATTTCATTGATGGCACTTAGAACACGTTCCACTCGGGAGCCTGAGCATTGGCCGACAGCGCGAGTAATAGAGTGATATTTAAATAACTTCCCACGAAAACAGGTGACGATAATACCCATTTCATAATATAACATCCAGTTCATTTGGTCCATCAGAGGGAAAAACAGCTAAAACACTACAAATCATTTAACACTTAATGAAATTCTCTCTTTTACTGCTCTTACGTAATTGATTCGCTTATTTTGCAGTTAGGTATGATGGCCGTCATATGGTGTGTAGAGCACTGCCTTAGGCTGCAATAACGTGTGAAATTAATGCTGTTATATATTAGTTAGCGTAACGCGCGTGTGGGGGAGGGGGGGGGGGGAGGGGTGAAGGGGAGCGGGGGAAGCAGTGGGCGGGATATACACACCGCAATCAACTACCAGCGTGGTTGTAAAACATTCAAGATGGAAACAGTTTACACATGCGATCCCACATTGAAATGTGCGCTGCTAAGACAATCTTTAAGGAATAATTCCACCTTGTGCTTATCTTTACCTTAATTACAGGTAACTCCATCTGACGCTTGGTCATGAACATATAACATGCCGAATGTCTTTCATGGCTCGGAAATCATCTACCGGCCTTTTGAAGCGTTTTTGCATCACAGGTGTGCTGTTTGAGAATTTGTATTTGGGAGAATGTAAACGTCTTTTAACACGTCGGCACTGGGTCAAGTATCAGTGAGGAAGAGGTGGGAGGGCGTATAGTAATAAGTGTATCAAAGCATGCTGGCGTTAGCCTAATTTGCCACTGTACAGCTTATTCGTGAATCGCTGCTTGAACTGATATTTGATCTAATAATCAGCCTATCAGTGAGAGGCGGACATATATCACTCCATGTGCAATCGTGACCACTCGTATCATTCCGGTAGGTTACGGGAAGGGGCGAGTGGTGACGAACGCACTCGTCTGGGATTTTATATTAAGCTGTTAACCCCGCAGTAGGCACGGTTGCCCACATTCAACCAGGTATATTTTTACTATTTTCATTGTTAACACATTACAATTTCATCCTATCGGGTACCCATTTACTGCTTTTTGAGGCATAGTTCGAACAAAGTCACTTGCCTGAGAAACCTCATTTGTGCTTCAGTATAAGGGGACAACGATTGTTTCTTCTCATGAGCATGCTTCTCTCAGAAGGTGAGTTGGGCTACATCATGTGACTTAACCATGGACAGGGATACTAAGTGTTTGCTAATTACACATACAGTAAACTACGGTTATAACGAACTAAAAGGGACCACTAATTTTAGTTCGTTATAACCGTAGTTCGTTATGGGCACATATACACCCTATATACAGCAAATCGACGGGACCCCAAAACAGTTCGTTATATCAATCAGTTCGGTATAAGCGTGTTCGTTATAAACGTAGTTTACTGTACATGTAATAAGTGAGTGAGTGAATTTGGAGTAACATCGCTTTGAACCGCATTAACTCACGGCGTGTCAGCTTGATGTCAGAGGAAGCACGAGGTGATGCAGGTCTCAGACGTTAGCCACTGTGATGAAACCCACGAGCACGGGTATGGTGCTGACAAACCATGAAACAGAATCAGATAAAGGATTCTGGCACGTCTAAGGCACGCAACTCTGCACAGCGAATTGCGGTCCGTATGACCACTTGATATGCCCTACTTTGTTAAATAGAACAAACCTTCGATTTGTTTGTAAACCTGTCCATGTGTTAAATACATCGGATATACATGTATGTCATCGGGTTGTAGATGCTTATCTTAAATCTGCGCATGCGTGTTGTTGGAGTTCGCATACGGAAGGATCTAAATACTGTCACTACCACTGTATACCGTTAACTCTGCATAATATAATTATGTATCTTTGTGGGACAGGATTCGCTCCCCGCGAACAACTGGTGTCATCACTGTTTGGTTGTGATTCATAAAATCATGCTCTTGTCTGAATCGTACAATCGGTGAGGTGAGGTCAAATGGGGTTTAACGTCGCGTCCAAGATTATTGCACTTATATAGCGACGTGCATGCACGTGTATGTGTGTGTGTGGCTGCTTGTACTAGTCCGGACTGATGCCGATTTATAGTGCTAGCACACTGAGATACCATACCGCTGTTTAACATGAATGCCCCACTCAGACACCGTATACTGACTCCGAGCCGACCAGTCTTTGTTTTAGCCCCTTAATGCCGAGCGCCAGACAGGGTAACAACAAGTACCATCTTTTAACGTCTTTTGGTATGACGCGGCTGGGGATCGAACCCCGGACCTTCCGCTCTCCGGGCGGACGCTCTACCTTAAGACCACGGAGGCGGTCGAATCGTACAGTCGACAAAGACTTATGCCTTATGGTTTTGGCAAGGGTTTGTCGCTGTTATTTCATTATGTTTATGACATCGATCAGTTATATGTGTATCCAGCAATATACGAACCCTCGCCTGTGCATACTGAAATAAACTTTAAGTTTGTCTGTAAGTCATCGTGTTCGGCTGCGCCCACGCATCCACGAGAACGGCCTCCGCTATCGAAATCGGTTATTCACCTCTTCAGAAACATCAGGCCGAACAAAGTGGCAGTGAAATGCCATTCATGACGTTCCTAACATCTACACATAATAACACACATGTCAGAATATCGTTGCCGTGTAAGATGAAGATACAAAGATGAGATATTCAATAAGAACGGCCTCCCCCAGGGCTGTGAGGGGCACGCGGTGTCTGATACAGGTTCCTTATCTGTTGGTCTTGACGGTAGCCTGGCATTTTTTAAATTACTTCAAACACTTCACACATCAGCCACACGTACACTCACACCCCCTTGCCCTATACACACACATACACTCTCTCTCTCTCTCTCTCTCTCTCTCTCTCTCTCTCTCTCTCTCACACACACACACACACACAAACACACACACACATCACACCACACACACTCTCTACCTCACACACACATCACACCACACATACAAACACATCACATCACACACACACATCACATAACACACACACATCACACACTCACACCACACACTCACACAACACAAGCACACACCACACACTCTTGACACTCACACCTTTCCCTTACACATATTCACACAACACACACATCACACCACACACACACACAAACTCACGCGCACACACACTCACGCACACACTCACGCACAAACACAACACACACAGAGTCACACCCCCTTCCCCTACACACACCCTCTCTGTCACAAACATACACATTACACTACACATACAAACACATCACACATCACACACTCACACCCCTTACGCAGCACACACTCACACCACACAAACACACACCACACCCTTTCCCTTACACATATTCACACCACACACACAGACGCACACATACCCTCACGCGTACACACAACACACAGTCACACTTCCTCCTCGACACACACAAATACACACAGACACGCACATACACTCACGCGCGCACACATGCTCGCACATACACACTCACACACACACATACATACACACACGCACTTGTGCGTGCGTAACAAATTACAGCTATAGTTAAATGGCCGATCGTGCTTATCAAACTTGAACCGTTGTACGCATTCGGAGATTCAACGTCGTCAACGCTTTCAGAACTGAGAGAGCACGTGTTTTCAACATTGTGCTATGTTTCTCTGACAATAATTGACAACCCCAGTAACAATGGTCCCATTTAACTCATCGTTAAATGAGCAGTTTAAAAAAGAGTTTTAGAAAGAGAGAAATATATAGATAGATATAAACACTGAACACTTCGAGATTAACGTCGCCTCAGGAATGAGATGATTTTTTATCTGAATGTCACGTGCACCTACCTTGAACTCTTTTTCCACTTCCGCTAGCTTCATCATTTCCTGTCGCAGTTCAAAGGTCGTCATGATGGGGTCAGGGCTAGACAGAGCCATGTACGCTGGACTTGCAAGCGCACGGTAAGCGTTCAAACGTGACCTTGACCTTTTTAACGAATCATAATTCTGTTTAGCGACACAATCACTGCACTTGCACGAGATAGGATGGGGTTTCTCTATGGTATGATTCCGTGAGAGAAACATCTGAATAATCTCGTGGTTATTATAATGTGCGGCCAAAATAACGGGGGTGATATCAGGGGGGAACTGAGATTTCTCCTCTGTCCTGAAGAACGCCTCCCCTCCCCCCAGTCTCCGCAACCTATCCTCTCCGGCCATGAAGTTCGGATGTTCGATGATAAGCTTGACAATTTTAGTTCCTCCCTTGCTGATGGCGTGTAAAAGCGCCTCCTCGATGCAGTTGAAAGAGAGATTGTCAAGGAGGATTTCAATGACGTCCAGCTTCTCGCTGTCGATGGCCAGATGGAGAGCATTGCGGCCCATGTAGTCGACACAGTTGACGTTGAGACTCGACTCTCCGCTCTCTTCAAGAGACTGACGGACAATCCCTACATCACCAAGGTATGCAGCGTTGAGGAACACGCGCTCCTCATCCGTCAACTGAAACAATGGAAGTCATACGTTAGATATACGTCACCGAGAAGGTGGACAATTGACAAATAAAGAGACGAAAATGAAACTTCAAGCATCGTACATATATAGGGCAATATATGGCTTATTTTCATGTATTCACACAGTGAGATAAAAGGCTTGAAATGATTCAACGTTGGAATTGTCGGCGTCTACCTAAGGTGCGATGATGTCAGATGAGCCGTTGTCTTCACCTGAGATGACCATGACCCATGACGTTATATCAACAGGAAGGTCAAGGTTGTGAATGGTATAGTTAGGAACAGTGTGTGCAGAAGCTTTGGCGTGCAGAGGCTTGTTGACACGAGCAATAACCAGTGGCCATCACGCGCGTTAACTATATGCAGAGACGATGGTGGGTATCGATAGGCATAAAACGGATAACACATTATTCCCTGGCAAATAAGATTTTGTCTTACGTCGTTGCTTCCCGCCTCCAGCAGCGGTTTGAAGAGAAGCCACAGTTTGCTGAAGTCCAGGATGGACGCCAGATAACTGGACATGACCGACACGCATCAGGTCACGGGAACCGCACTTCCGGCCAGCATATGGCTGCACAGAACATCCGGTCAACAAGAGAGTTATACCCGTCCATGACGTGTCATGGCTGTCGGACGATTAAAGTCTTGGTTGTTCGACCACGAAGGGAGATGTTCCCTGTGCAAGCTGGCTGGAGTCGGTGGACATCATGAACACTATCACCAACACCTCTCCTGGGTTTTAATTGTTAGGGATTTTCCCCCTCCTTCAGCGCCGTTGCCGTATGTGTGGTAAATGAGTTTCATTACATGGTGGAAGCCACCCAATCATCGCCACGCGATAACACGGTTACATTGCAAATCACTGGCCATTTGCTAACCAAGGTGATCCATTTCAGTCATAAAATAACGTTCAATAACGAGATGGGGAGACCATCGCACGTCAAGGGGACCTTGGAAGAGATTGCCGTTTCTGGCCTTCTCCCTCATATATTACTTCATTGACGGATATTGACAAATGCTTTAATATAAAGCTACAACACTATAAAGTCATATATTCTCTCCCCCGGTTTTGATTTAATTTCCCGCTAAACTACAGAAGATGAATCGGCTGCTTGCTTTGCTCCCCTGGTGAGATGAGGGCAAGATGGTGATCAGCGCCACCAGCAATCTGCCTCTTGTCTTTAAAGTTTGTTATTTTATGGGCGAGTAAACCAGGCCCATTACCGTAGGCCGCTAACGACCTGCCACATCCCCCCTCCCCCCCCGACTCGGGAGTAATTGTCTCCACGTGCTGCCTGTAAGCGACACTTACATCGCTTGATGTGTTTACATCCTAGGCTTGATATGAAATCATTAAGTCTTACGTAACACAAACTCATTTACCAGCGCTCCGCTCGGATCTTTGTTTTTTTTTCTGACATGATGAGAAAGAACACTTCATCCCACTACAAGCTTATTAGGGTGTATCACCGAGTAACATCACAGAGTGAGTCCGGTCACACCGCACATACATCGACCGCAGAAGCAGAGGAGAAACTTGGGGGCAAGGAGAAGCCTGCTTGACGACCGGTGAGAAGATGGTAAGAAAGAGGGAGGAAATCTGAGAGAGGGACGAATATGAAGTGAACGACAGAGGGCTATTTGGAGATATGTCTTATAGGAGGAGTGATTCATGGAATGAGTTCATGGGGAGAACTGGGGGAAAGACTGGCATGAGCCGAACCAAAGTTGATCCGGAACAATGGCTTGAAACTGATCGAAGGAAGGAATTGGAGTGATTGAAAAACAGAGAGGATGGTAGGCGAGGTGGGTGTGATAGAGAGATGGTGGTGAGAGATCGAGAGAAGGTGATATGGGCGGATGGAGAAATGTAGTGACGGAAGTTAGCAGGGAGGAAGAGCAAGACAATAGACTGGGAGAAGAGCCAGAGGTGAGAGCGAGAGGGGAAAGGAGGAATATTGAGAAGAGGCTACTCCGCGTGATAGATAGTGGCATGGAATGACAGGCGGGTTAGAGTGGCAGGGAAGGGAAAGTGATAGAGTGAACGCGAATGAGTAAAGTTTCAAGGAAGAAGGTGGTGAGCGGATAGGAGCTGAGGTGTTAAGAAGGCAGGGTAGTTGAGAGAAGTGAGAATACTATGGAGAAGGTAGCACAAACAGAATGAGCAAAGAGGTGAGAGTAAACGAGAAGAGGGGTAAGGGAAAACGAGAAGATCCCGGGAAGAAAGGATGAGCTGATTGACAGAAGGAATAAGTTGCTACCTTGTCAAAAGGGCCTAATTTAGCGACAGACGCGGCCCGTAGCCCTGCAAGGAAGGGCTGAATTGGGCGGATTTAGTTAACGTCACCATGCATAACGTGGAGGGGTACTACTGAGAATGCCAGGCACCAAGTGAGATCAGACTTGGTGGACTGCACTGAGGAACGTGTGCGTCTTTCAGACAGGTCAGTGAGTACTTACTTACTGCTCGGCGAGTGCCTGACTGCATGGCAAAGATGTGAAGGCCTTGACGAGGGCTTGCAGTATGTTGGGTGGATGACGCAATGAGGGATGTTGGGAATGTATGTGTATGCTTACATCAACTGCAGCACGTCTACATCCACTACAGCCATGCCGTGCTACACATCCTTTAACACATCGACATCAACTACAGTCTGCCTCTGATACACATTAACACGACTACATGAACGACAGCCTTCCTTTGATATACTTTCAACACGACTACATCAACAATAAACTTTCTCTGACACACCTTTAACACGACTACATCTACGACAACGTTCTTGTCACACAGGTATAAAACGACTACATCAACGATAGCATTCTTTTCATACACCGTTAACACGTCTGTATCTGTTACGGCCTTCTGAAACATCTTTTATACGACTACATCAACGACAGCGTTTTTGTCATACGCCTTCAACACGACTACATCAACGACAACCTTCTTGTGATGCACCTTCGACACGACTACATCAACGACAGCCTTCTTGTAATGCACCTTAAACGTGACTACATCAACGACAGTCTTCCTCTAATACTCCTTTAACACGACTACATCAACGACAGCCTTCCCCTTATGCATTTTTAACACGACTACATCAATCATAGACGTTTAAAAAACTAAGCAGATGCATTGAAACATTTGCAAAACTGTGACCCAGATATCGTGTAAATTGATATCTTTTATCGGATATAACTTTGAATTAAAACATGAAAGTCGTTCAAATTTACCATCAGCACACAAACACGTGCAATGTTCTATTCAATCATCCCGATGTGCGGTCTTGTTTGTAAAAAACTGTCGCATTTGAAGCCTGATACATTCGTAGAGAAAAGATGAATATTTGCCCTTATTTGAAAGAATCAAATTGCCCAGTTGTGGGAATGTCAAACAGGATTACCGGAAAATAATAAAGCATTTCCATTTGTTAGATGTTTTGTTGTTCGGAGTCAGGGTGATTGCCTTGTCGCCGGTCGGACTTTTTACAACGTCTCTGATTGGTTGACCCTTCAGGGTCGCTCGGCTCACGTCGAGAACGGCGCAAGTGAAGCGACTAATGAAGATTCAAAAAGCACCTCGTAAACGCATTTATAGAAATTGAATCAACCCTTTCATTTGACAATCCCTATTAGGTGGCTGCGGCACAGCGGTAAGATCTATTGTGGAAATCATATTGGTTTGAATAAATGTTTCGTGTTTCCAGCCCAATTTCTTGTCCTAATTTGATTTGGATGCAACTTGATCCGGGATGAAAGCGTGTGGAGCAAAAGCCGTGCATGACAACGCCGGTAGCGGAGATGTGAGGACATGGGAGGGCGTGCTAATACGACTGCAGCACCGTACGTTTCGTCACACACAATATTCATCTCTCGCCTCCCCTTCACCTCACCCCATTCGGCGAATACCTCTGTCCTACTGGCACCCTCCACCCCTCCCACCACCACCTCCCCCACCCACCACCATCCGTCCATCACCTTCACCTCACCCCATTCGGTGAATACCTCTGTCCTTGTACACAACCCTACTGGCACCCTCCACCCCTCCCACCACCACCTCCCCCACCCACCACCATCCGTCCATCACCTTCACCTCACCCCATTCGGTGAATACCTCTGTCCTTGTACACAACCCTACTGGCACCCTCCACCCTTCCCACCACCACCTCCCCTCCCATCCTATCCATTCAACATCCCCCCCCCCACCACCACCACCTCCCCTCCCATCCTATCCATTCAACATCCCTCCCACCACCCCCACCCCCTCCCACCACCATCCGTCCATCACCTTCACCTCCGCTGTCCCACACTTCCATGTTCGTGAACCAACAATGGTTATGGTAATAAGGTACGCACCGCTCTCTGCGGGACAATAGCATGTCTGCACACTCTTGTGTTCCAATCTCAAATACGAATTATTTTTTTATACCGTTTTTTTTTCATCCATTAAATCGTCTTGATGTGTGTACTCATGCTCTTGTATTATCTCCGCCCTGCTTCTGCTGACGTAGGCTTTGGTTTCATTACGAGGGAACATTTGACAGAGGAGGTTCTGAGGATGGAGTGAGAGTACATCAAGTCTTTGGTTGTTCACTCTAACCCCAGCAAGACGAGAACGGAACTTAAGCTTCATTCTTTACCTTTGATCTGATGAAATCCCATTACTGATCCAATTTCTAACGTCTTTAAGCTGATCTTTCAAGCAAAGCAGTGAAATATTAGCTACACTTTTAAAGATATAACGTGCAATTTCCACAGATGTTTAATTACTTGAGATATTTTCTTTACACTTCTTGGAAAATGTTTGCATTTGACAAAGATCGCTATCTTGGCATCATGTGTGGGGTTTTCTTTGGAAACAACCCTAACAGTTTACACTGTTCCCAGTTTCCGCAGATCCATCACCAGAACAATATTCTTGATTGTCAATGTCTGTACAGCTCTCATGGATTGTCACGCATATCCACCAACGCCTTCCTCCCCATCACC